AGAATTGGCTAAAAACCAACTGGTCCAAAGAGTAGATCCAGTGATGGGATATCTTCAGGCATGAGCTTCCATTGTATTCTATTATATGATAGTCTTATTGTTAGTTATTTCTGATAACACTTTTAAAATAATTTGTAGTTTTCTTTCGCTCTTTTTCTTTTCTTTTCTTTTTGAAAAAAAAAAAAAAAAGCTGTAGCCCCAGCTGGCCTGGAACTCTCTATGTAGACCAGGCTGGCCTTGTACTCACAGAGTGCCGCCTGCCTCTTCTGAGTGCTTGGACTAAAGGCGTGCACCACTATACCTAGCTGTAGTTTTCATTTTTACTAAATTTACAGATTTTTTTTTTTGAGACAGAGTCTCACCTAAATGTACAGATATTACAAACAGTTTAAAGCCAAACAGGCTGGCCAGATGGCTCAGCAGGTAAAGGCACTGACCGCATAAGCCTGCCAACCTGAGTTCAGTCTCTGGATCCCATGGTGGAGAGAACCAATTCCTGAAAGCTTTCCTCTGACCTCTACACACGGGCCACCCCCTGTACACATACATCACACACACACACACACACACACACACACACACACACACACACACACATAATAAAGTTAATTTAATTAGAAAAATAAAAGAGTCAAACTACTTTAACCTTGTTACAAATACCAACTTCCTTTCTCACCCCCAACTCCACCAACCTCACCTACAGGCAACCATTTTGAACTCTGACTTTAAATTCTCTTGTTTTTCTTCTTAATTCGAATTAATATTGTAACCTCTCAATTTTTCCATTCCAGGCATTATCTGTTGATTTCTCAGTAAAGAAAAATGAGGATTTAGTCATCTTTTACTTCCTGCTCTTCCATACCAGTTCACACTTCTAACGCCACCTTTGGCTCTATGACAATTGGTTAGATCACTATTCCACATTTACATCACTTAAATGCTACACTTCCTGTGCTGAGTAACACTATGATTTTATTTCCTGCCTACATACATATTTTATTGAAACTGAGGTACATAGGTTTCAATTAATTACAATTTGTGACACATAACTATCATTGGTCTATACTTGGCCTTCCTTTACTTATTTAATTAGCTGTTCTTTTTGTGTGTATGTGCACTTGTGAGTGTTCTGTGTGTGCAGGTGCACATGATTTATTAGATGTTGAGCCTTTAGGATACATAGTAGGAAACATATGTTATCCATCATTTTATGTTATTATTTTTATCATCATCCCACTTAACAGATGAGAACATAAAAGTTGAAAGGAAAAAAAAGGGAAAAAAGAGAAAAAGAAAATAAAAAAAGAAAAAGAAAAAAAGTTGAAAGAAGTAATTTGTCTATGGCTGGACAGTGAGTCAAAGGCAAAGCTAAAATGCAAACTCAGACAATTTTGATAATATCTTTTCCAGAGTGTCAATATAACACATTCCCATTAAAAACTCAAGGTCTTTTTTTTTTTTTTTTTTTTTTTGGTCTTTTTGAGACAGGGTCTCCCTGTAGCCCCAGCTGGCCTGGAACTCACTATGTAGACTAGGCTGGCCTAGAACTCACAGACATCCACCTGCCTCTGCCTCCTGAGTGCTGGGATTAAAGGCGTGTGCCACCACGCCCAGGTAAAAGTCAAGGTTTTTTAGTCTTATTGATTAGATATTTATTATTTGCAAATTATGAATAGATAATGTGGAGCTTAAATTGAGTAACAGGTAGAGTTTCACTAATGCTTGGGAAGAGAAAGTGGGGAAGGTATTCATGCAGTGGAGCAGTCTGGCCCAGGGTGTCTGTCAGTTGTATTGAGGAGAGCACCCATAGGGTGGGGAAGAAGGGTGTAGCTGCAGCAGAGTTAAAGGAGGAAGAGGGCATTTGTGCAAAGAAGGGGATGGTAGTGGCAATGCTGGTGAAATACAGTGGCATTCACCAATAAGGAAATGCATGAAAGATAATGGGAGATGGGATTTTCACTGCCAGAGTAGGGAGTTATAAATATGGAAATGAAAACAGATTGTGACATAGCTTGGGTATTGTGACATAGCTTGGGTATTGGCATGAACTATAGATCTATAATGAAACGGAAGTAGCAATCCTTAACCTCCTCGCAGAGACTATTCCAAGCCCAGATGGCTTCAGAGTAAATTCCCCAAAACATTTAATGAAGAAATAAAAACAATTCTATGCAACTCTGCCAAAAAATAGTGGAGGAAATACTTCCTGACTCATTCTCCAAGGCTAACTATGAATGATACCCAAACCAAAGGAAGACATTACAACAAATATTCTGTGTAAACATACATGTGAAAATTCTAAACAAAAAATTGTCACACTAAATATAACATGTTAAAAAAATAGTACATTATAACCAAACCATGCTTATCACAGAAGTAAGAGTTGGCTCAGCATTAGAACATCAACCAATGGAATTCATCATGACAATAAACTGAAAGAGGAACACATAATCATCCCAACAGTGGCAGAGAAGGCATTTGACAAAATCCATTTGAGATTCTGCCCAACCCTACCAAGGGCAAGTTCCATTGAGAATCACAGTTAGAGGGAAGAACATAGATTGCTGTCTACTCTACCCAGCAGACAGTCAAGGCTGGGCAGTCATTCTTATCACATGGCGCTCAAGCACATGTTCTAACCCCGGATGAAGTTTACTCAGTACATCAGACCATAGTCCCACTGTTTCCCAAAGTCTGTTCCTTGGGACGCCAGCATCCCTTGAAATATAGGGTTCGTCTTAGAAACTC